TAGGCTAAAATCCTTAGGCAGCTTCAGGAAGATAAGGATTATTGTATCATCCTTACATGAGATACATTTAATTATAAAATAACTTTATCATGTGGTAGCATATTTTAATTTTTTTTTTTGTAAGATTAGTGAATTTGTTGAACTGATGCCACCCAGAGACTTCTATTAATATTGCAAATCAGCTATTTTCCAGCTATGACGGATTATTATTATTATTATTATTATTATTATTATTATTATTATTATTATTAACAGAGTTTCTTCAATAAGGTGGTACTGTGCGTATGTGTACATTGCTGCTCACTATTTTCAAACAGGACACCATGGCATGAGATGTCTCATACATACACCATGAACACTACTGAAATTTTTGTATCTATGTTAATTTTTTAGTGAAATCAAGATGCCTTTATTGCCTTTTGACTTTATTTGCCATTCAAGATCAATTCTGGATTCCTTTCTCAACATACCCCTCTATTCCTTATTAGTAATTTCTTAATTTATTTTACTGTTTACTGTAGCTCTACTTTGAAGGGCTCTAAGGTAATGAAACTTAGGTTGGAGAGAACTGTGCTATTTCATTTGCAAAAAAAAAAAAATAGAGCTCAGCCCTAGGCAAGTCCTTGGACAATGGAAACCAAACAAGCCGTGACCTGTTGGGCGGATACTAAATTTAAGGTAAAACTGAGACTGATTTCTGGACTTCTATTTTTTGTGTATCTAACATCCTCCTGCCCATCTCTGATTGTTAACTTTGTCTTTAAAGCTCTTTAGGAGACTACATTGGTCTTCCCTAGGAGCTGAGTGTGTTTGCTTTGGCCATAGGTTCATGAGCCATGGCAAACTTTGTTTTAAGCTATAAAAAAACTCACCCCAACCTGAAATCCCAGGAAAACCCACAGCATGTGAGTCACAGTGTGTCAAAGAGACATGTTGCTTTCTAACTTTCTCAGGGTCCAACATGTTCAATATCCATCTTTTAGTTCCATGGGAAAACATGCATTTTCTTTTAGGATTGTTTTTGAGGTGCAAGGCCTGCAGATTTCAGTCCTGTAATAGCAATTTAAAAAACCACCAAAACCAAACTTTTTTTTTTGTTAAGGGTATGTATGTCTGGAATGTATTGAATGGACCTAATGTCTGTTGGAGACCAGCTGTTATCAATTTCCATCTACCATGGTGTGGTTTCCATGGACAGCTTTAAGTTTGCAACTGATGTCTGCAGAAGGGTAAATACACATACTTAGTTTCAATGGGGAAAAAAAATCAGGTTAAAGGTGTGTCTGAAAAAGTGTTTTCAGTATTAAGAGTAAGAAGAGAGAAGTCACTAAAGGGCTAACTGGTTTATTTTGCTGCACATGAACTGAGGGCAGAGGAAAGTGAGGGGAATGTCTGGAAGGGGAGGGTTAGAACTGGACATCAGCTGTGATCAACAGGCAGTATGACTAGGTTATGTGTTAACTTTCACATTTATTTATGCAACTGTTGTAGTATTCAAAATCTATAGTTGCATTATTTTGTATAGCTTGTCATGTTGCATCTACATGAAAACTGTTAATAAAGTGATATTACTTTTATTTGAGTTAAAAATCATGGCAAAGTCATTTACAAGCCTTTAATAGCTTGTTGTGCATTTTTGACTCTCAAGAGTTTACTTGTAACAGAACTGAAAGGTCTTGTTTCACCTGAGGTTTTTCAGCTACATTTTGCTGTTTAACTGAAAATAAATCTAATTATTCTGTTTACTTAGCTGCATAAATTTTCTGTCATGTAACTCAATGTAGAATTTAGCTAATAAGCTTTTACTTTTATATATTATGTGGGTTTTGTTTGTCTCTTTTGTTCATTTGTTTGTGTGGTTTTGTTTGTTTGGGGGTTTTTTTTGTGTGTTTGTTTTTTTGTTTGTTTGTTAGTGGTTTTTGTTAGTTTTCCCGTACAAAAGTATTGGTAAAATGTAGCTTTATCCCATAAAGGCTTATTCCTGTGTGATATGTGATGCTACTGTGACATGTGTGAGGTACAGTTTCAGCGTATTTGCTGAAAAAAAGCCCCATCTCTAGCTGCCATTTGTTCTTCCTGACCTCAAGCAAGAATTTTGCTGAATGCAATGAAGGATGAAATAATTTGTATTTTGGAGGGACAGAGAGGAATTGCATTTCAGAGAGATTTGTTAGCATGTTAGCAAGTCTTCGTTCTCTTCTTGTTCTCTAGCCTGGGCTTTGGCTTGCCTTGCCTGTTCCCTGCCCCCTTGCTCCAAACCTGGAAATGGTCTGAATCCTCTGCTTTTGCTTTGCCTTCAAGCTTTGTTGTGCCTTGCTGAGACAGTTGAGGTTGCAAAATCAGGTACAAAAAAGCTAAGAAAAGCCTTGTCTGTGTAGATATATATGTATATTTATAAATTAAACAAATAAATATATCTAAGGCTACACAGACCTATAATGTGTATCCATATGTATATTTTGTTTCCCCTCCTACATAATCCTGCTAGGTTCTATGCACAACATCTGCAGTAGCAGCTGATGGTATCTGTAGTCAGGTGTCTAATACGTGGCCCCATCCCCTTTCCTGTCCAGTGTTCAGACCCTGATTTAAGAACATCCAGTGCAGATGGAATCCCTAGTGAATTTAGCTACAAGTTCTGTAGGACATGCACAAACTAGCATCATAAGCTTAAAATTGCCCAGATGCATACAGGCTGTCATTAAAAATGCAGAAGTTGGTTTTCTCATACCCAAGTGATTCTATTGCATGGTTCCATCTGTTTTTTTATCCAAAGTAGATGATATTACAGCTTCTGCACAGTATGTTTAATGGTTCTCTGCTATGGCTGAACACGTTTTGACACAGAATAACATTTTTCTCCTGGGTCCTCTCCTTAGGAATGGATGAACTTTAATATTTAAATTAAAAACAAATCATCCTGAAACAGGAACCAGACAAATTTTTTTTCAACCCAGTCATTTGCAAAAGGAACAATATCATCATGAACAAAGAAAAGAGCTTAAAATAGGTGTTGGCCACCTGAGCTGCAACTGATGATACCAGTATACAAAATTACACTGCCATGGCACTCTCAGTGGGGTTAGTGTTGAGCCTGTATTCTAAATGATCATGACCGTGTGCATATCTTTAGTCTTCTTACAGTTTCACACCTGTAGTCTTCAAATAGGTAGTTTTACATCCTCTTATAGAATCATAGAATCCTAGGAGTTGGAAGGGACCTTGAAAGATCATCTAGTCCAACCCCCCTGCCAGAGCAGGGTCACCCAGAGCACATCACACAGGAATGCATCCAGGCGGGTTTTGAATGTCTCCAGTGAAGGAGACTCCACAGCCTCTCTGGGCAGCCTGTTCCAGTGCTCTGTCATATGCCATATGTTTTGTTAAAGAAGGGTCTGGGAAAACTCTCCTACCACATCATGAAAGCCCTCTTGCTTTCCAAACTCCTTCTCTGAGAGGAGTCTGGGTGCAGCTGGACCTAGTCTTAGCCCCTGAATGTGAAGAGGAGTTTGGTCCCTAAGTCCTGTCACAGAGTTTATTACAGCTTGAACTGTTTTACCTGTTTTACCCATATTTTACCTCTGCCTGACAAGCCATGTGCTTGTTCATGCAACTGTTCATCCAGTTACCTTCTATGATGGTTTTGTCTTCCCTTTCTGCTTGGTTCTACCTTCCTCTGCCCAAGTGTCCCCATTCAACATCAGTCACTTCTTGTCGGGATAATTCTTCCAACGGTCCAATTTCTCCAAGCTAAGTTTCGGTTAATCCATCGTTCCGTTGTATAAGATCATTTTGAGTAATTAGTTCGTTGTATACATCTTGTTTCAGTATTATTCCAAGAGGCAGAATAAAAGTTTAACTAAGGTTCAATTCCAGGAGTTCAGCTGAAGTTTAATTAGAATTGTGGCCTAAGGCCGTATCACTCCAGCTACTTATGCTAAGTCAAGTCACTTAAGTCAAGTCGTTTTCCATTTGCTCAAGTCTTAAACATTTATACAGTTAATTCTAATATTCCTTTAGTCAATCTATTAATCCCAATATGCTTATAGTCAATCAGTTTCTACTTTCAACATACATAGCTTTCATCACCTTTCATCTGTATTCTGGACCAATGAACCACATTTAAAAAAAATCAAAGAAAAATGCTTCGTTATCCTGAGAACTGTGAGAGAAGCTCTAGAAGATGAGGCTTTTGTACAGCTGTACTTTTTTTAAGAAACATTTATATTGCTATAGCAATTTTGTGTATTCTGTGTGTCTGTGTAAAAACAAATTAAAAAAATAAAAATTAAAAGCATTCTCTTTTCCAAGACCAACATTTGTGTTCATATAGCTTCACTATTGTGTGTCCAACCTGTGATACGAATGCAAAAGTAACTATTAATAATGCATTCTGAGTACAAGTAATCCTCCTTGCCAATTTTCAGCAGCTCCCCTACTTGCCTGCTCTGTCTTAGGTAGCACTAAACTGGTCTAGGAAAGGCAGGTTAAAAATAAAAATCTCACATGAATCCCAATCATTTTCCTTTTTTTATCCCTCACGTCTCAACCTTCTTACAGCAAAAATGATGAAGATTCAGATTTGCTTGTTTTTCTCATTGTTCTCCATTTGATGAGACCCTTTTTTAAAGAGCAAAGCAAAAACTCAACCCCCTAGTTTAAACTGGTTCTGATGTATGTAAAAATAATCTTACTTTACTTGAGTATGTGCCTCTGAATTGCAGTTGTACTGTGATGTTTTCTGCTTTACCTCAGGAGGAAAAACACAACTGGCTTATAAACCAGACCAAAATTTGAATACTTCAATCAGGCATGTCTTGGGTAACTGCCTGTAGTGTAAATTATGTGGTATGGTGATAAGTCTCCTACATTTCCTTAGAGGACCGTACTTGAAAAACATGCATCACCATGCATGTTTATCTGCAAATGTAACGTTGGCTATCTGGTGTACTGCAACTATGACATTTACAGTAATGGTTGTATTTCTTAATTGTTTTTAGAAATTGCCCCTTGGTTACATGTGTTCAGAGCAGAAGATGCTGTTGACTTCTCACAGTTAACGTTTGACCCAGGACAAAAAGAGCTTATTGCTGGAGCAAGGTGAGAAATCTATTTTCATGTTGCGTCAGACTGGATTTTGTAATATTGACTCAAATTCAAACATAAGCTTGCTCTTGAAGAACTCCCCTGCTTTCCAGACCCACTGAACTGAATATTATGTATGCTTATTTCTCTTATTCCTGACTAAAGTTAAAGCACGGACTGCCTATTATCAAGGATCCTAATAGCTTACGATGTTCTCATTTTTAAGAACACTGTCCTCATGTACTTTGGGATGCATACAGGAGAACAGGCAGATGCAATATGACAATGTGACAAAAGTTACCATAGCATAAAGCTTACGATGATCCCAAATTTGGCTACACAGTACAGCTTTTCATGCTTGGATAATTCTAATAATTATTCAGTACAATGCCAGGAATGATCTGTTAAAGACTGCAGAATTTGTGGTAAAGTCAGTGATGATCATAATTTTTGCACAGTAGGACTGTATTTTGCAAGCTGTGCTCAACAATGACACTGTCTTATATGTCAGCATTAAAGTGGTGACAGTCTTTGATCACCATTTTTTCTTCTCTCAGCATATGAAGTGGAGTAAAACATTTTGGTTGGCACAAAGCTGTAACCATCTAAACTTATTATTTAAAATGCATTCCAAATAAATTTAACTCTTGAATTAATTAAGTTCTAGTAACTTAATTTTCCTGTTAGATTTAACATTGGAATATACTTCTGTTTCCCAATTTGTTTCTTAGCTGAAAATGATGTTCAAAATACAGACTCATAAAATGCAAAAATGCCACCGTGTGGCAGTGGAAGTTGCTTATCTACAGGGGGAAATCTTTGTGGAGACACATATATGTCTGTGGCCCATCTGAAGTGGGATATCTTGTGTGCTCATGTTGATTTTTCTGTTCTGTAAGCTGCCCGGTGAAATAAGGCACAAGGCTGTCAACTGGCACTTGTTCTGTGAAGACCATCTGTGTAAGTTAGTGCTGTCTGAGCCTCTCCTCAGTCCCATGGAATTGTGTGTTGGATCAGTGTGCACTGGGTCGATCTCAATAACCAAATACATTTTTCCCTCTTCTCCCGATTTTTTTCTCTGTACTGTTCATCTGGGCTCCAAACCTCAGCAAAGAATGTGCTCTTTTAAACTTGTGGTTTTCATGAAGTCTTTTGAATCTGTGTGGAATAAGCTTTGGAGGATTTTGTTAAATAGTCAGTGAATGTGAAAAAATGCCAACTGCCATTTTTGCCTTTTGCAGAAAACCCAGTACAGTAAAAGCAATAGGATTAATTTGGTTTCTGTCTAAGTTAATGCAGCTCCAGAGCTTCTATCTTTTATTCTGGCTAAAATTACAAAATTGAAAATATTCAGTGTTTTTAGAAATCACAACTGAAACCTTTCTTTTTTGCATTCCAGTATAGCTGGTTGTTTTTTTGTTCATAGAATTTATTAGATTTTCCCTTATTCTGCATTTCCAGTCTAATTTCTAAGCTTTTCCATAGCATTGTTGTGTTTGGCCTGGGAGACCTCACTTTAGAACAACTGCACTTGCTAGAGGGTGTCATTAATACTACATGTTATTGTTATTAGTATGTCCTTTCCACTGTACGTTTTTCTCTTCTTAAAGCATTGTGCCAGACTATATGTTAAAAGTCATTGTATGACATGGATTCATAGATTCAGACTAAAACTCAGTTTTCAGGGTGCTGTAGTCCCAAAAATGCAAGTGCTGATCTTGCTGATTATGGATGTTTTGCATGTAGTTCCCATTACTGTGTAGAATGAATCTGTTCACTATGAATTTGATGTTGAGTTTTCTGCTCATTTGCAGGAGTTGTGTTTGCAGCTTTTCTTAATCTCAACCGGCTGCACTGATTTTTATTTTTTTTTTTCTTAATGCACTATTTGTTGTTACCCTTCACCCAGGGCCACCTGAACAGCGTATTAATATTACCATAGCTGTGCTATGGCCTGTGAATAAATTTTTATACAAGTTTCTTGCACATCTACCTCATAGGATCCACATATCTGAAGAGCTATTAAAGAAATTCATTTTATGTCCTAAGCCACAAATGTGCTCCAAAAAGACAGTAAAGGGAATGCACGGTTAATTCCTCCTCCCTCGTGAAGTGTATTTTGATATACAGTTCTTTATTTTAGAATATTAAAACAATTTATTTTTTTATTGTCTTATTGTAGTAACACTTCAGTATTGAAAAACTAATAACTATGTGCAATGTGATTTCAGTAAGATCTGAACAGTTACAAGTTCCTGTTGAGTTGTGAAAATGATAGGTTGTAGCTCTCTGACATGGTTTTCCCTTCTCTTCCCAACCAGTAGTAGAGAAAGGGAATGTGTGATGTGGCACATGGGAAAGCTACAAATAAACTTAGGTTATTCTGTTGACACTGCCAAGAGAACTACTCCCAAGACAAAACAAAGAGTGATGCCTCCACATCCAGGTTTCTGGTGGTGTTCTAAAGCAGAGGAATGATTTTCACAGCCAGGAGCTGTGTATGGACTCAGCTTAAGTTTATAATTTATTATTTTCACTTTAATGGAGTTCAGTGAACTCTTCCCCCAAATTTCTCTGTCTTAGAAACCAAACAAAATGATTTATGAAAATTTGACAAGATCGGGAATACATTTTCTATCACTGATATTCACTGTGGGTGAATCTCTTCCATTTTTTAAGTTCTACAGTCTCTGAAGAGGTACTAGATATTAGAACTAGATGATCTTTAAAGGGCCCTTCCAATCCAAACCATTCTATGATTCTGTGTCTCTGAACTCAATAGAAACAAGTAACTGCAGTCTGTGTTGTTCACCTTTCAAATTTCTCACAACTCCTGTACCTCAACTGTGAGGAGTGTCCGTTTATTTGGTCATATTCAAATGTGTTTCCTACCATGAGGTTCGATGCCTTTTAGTAACAACTGCTTTACTTCTGAATATTGCTATACAGTGCAGGTTCAATTATACCTCCAGTTTTAATTGTGAAAGGAGCTACTACAACTGTGAAGTTTGACAAGGCTTGCACTTGCCTTTGTGTCAGAGTCACCTGACAATCATTAATGCCTTCCAGTGTAACAAGTCTGACTAATAACATATATTGGGTCTGAAGGGTAAGTGTTACAAAGCTTTTGCTTTGTATGTGTATCATTGACAAAGGCTTCAGAGAAAGAGGGGTATCTTCTAAAATGACTGAGTTAGCCTGGATCTCAGTAATAACCTAGAGCTGCCCTGCTTGCCTGGGACATTTTTGCACAAGTTGCCTGTATAAAATATCAGATAGCCTTGAGAAATGGGGGAGTGGGGCAGGTGGAGTGGGGACAGACAAGGAAGAGTCAGAAGGAGAAATTTATCTTGTCCAACTTTGATGAGACAACCCAAAGTGCATAGTGAAGACAAGCAAAAATTACAATGCAATGTATGAAGCTGAACGAAGGTAAGAAGAATGATTGTTCTTACGGTTTCTGGGTTTAAAATCTGTGTTTGAAAATGTCACAGATTTTTCAGGGTTACATCAATTTGGTCTAGATTTAATGTAAAAGGAACTTTTTTTCTTAATAGGTGTGTGCTAAATTATGAGATTATACATTTGTATATAAAAAAACAGAAAACAGATTGATGAGAATACTCTATGGAGGTAATTCAGAATTGAGTGCAAAGCAGTGTTAGTACATTATCAAGACTATTGACTCTTGACATAAGACAATGTAGTTATGAAACTGTATCTTTAAAATTTGCCCCAGGCATTGTTCTTAACATCACAAATGACCTGGCAGATAAAAAATTATGAGTTCTCTTGCAGTGTGAAACCTTCTAGGAAATTTATTTGTTTTCTTAGAGGGAAAAAAAAATAATAAATAGCCATATGGCAAGGCAGAATTTACTTTTATAATTAAGTGGCATCAGTGAAGGACTTGTCAGGCATTAGCTCCTCAGTAAGCTCAAAGAAATGAGAGGCTGCTTTTTTATCTTATTCTGATAAATCCTAATGAACTATTCAGATTAATATTTCTTTGTGTGTTATTTAGTGGACTGACTTAGCATCTAATAAAATATAATAACGATCTCTGTATTTTGAAATGCCAGTAATCATGGGGATTCATGGTTTTCCCCCAAAACAACCTTGTTGTCTTTTCCCATGTGAAGGTGATTTGCCATATGTACTGCAGCATTTTCTTTGTTTCCCTCCTGGAAAGGTCAGTTGAGGAGGGAGACGATCAGCTGAGGTGGGGGACCCAACAGTGTCTGAATTGCCCTCGCAATTTGTGCATTGCTTTTATTCTTCTCTTTCAAAAATCCCTGACAATGCACTGAATACTTAGGAGCTCTACTTGTTATAAATTAAAAACTTTTTTAAAGTGTTCCAGCCATTTGGGTAGAACAAGAGTCAATTGGAAGCATGTGTTACATCCAGTAGGTAAGGGCAAGAATCACAGAATCATAAAATGGTTTGGGTTGGAAGGGACCTTAAAGATCATCTAGGTCCAACCCCCCTGCATGGGCCAGAACACCTCCCACTAGACCAGGTTGCTCAAAGCCCCATCCAGCCTGGCCTTGAACACTTCCAGGGAGGGGACATCTGCAGCTTCCCATGGCAACCTGTGCCAGTGTCTCAGCATGCTCATAGTGAAGAATTTTTTCTGAATGTCTAACCTAAGTCTACCTCTCTCCAGTTTAAAGACATGCCCCCTTGTCCTATCACTACAAGGCCTTTTAAAAAGCCCCTCCTCAGCTTTCTTGTAGGCCCGCTTCAGGTACTGGAAGGCTGCTGTAAGGTTCCCCTGTAGCCTTCTCTTCTCCAGGCTGAACAACCCCAGCTGTCTCAACCTGTCTCCATAGCAGAGGTGCTTCAGCTCTCTGATCATCTTTGTGGCCCTCCTCTGGACTCGCTCCTACAGCTCCATGCCCTTCATGTGTTGAGGGCTGCAGACTTGGACACAGTACTCTGGGCAGGGTCTCACAAGAGCAGAGAGGGGAAGAATCACCGGCCTTGACCACCTGGCCACACTTATTTTGATG